ACATACATATAATTTCAAATTATTTTCCTGTTATTCTTCAGGGATGCAGTAACTTCAACAAACACAGTAATATCAAACTCTGGATCTCTGAATCAAAGGAACTGGCTAAAGTTCAGATCATGAGCTAAATTGCTCACCAGTGACAGAAAATTAGACAAATTTCCCTTTCATCCTGTCACAGGATCTGGCTAATTTCCAAAATTTCTGGGAGGGGGAAGTGAAGCGATTTTCTCTGAGGTTCCACCCTGCAGAAGCAGAAATAACAACGCCCTAATTCTGTTGCTAAAACTCTTTTCCTAATGCAGCAACTGGATGGCAAGATGAAGAGACCTCAAATACACTAAGGCCAAGGCAATGGCAAGATGCTAGAGCGTAGTGATTTAACTCTTCTTTTACATCAATTTTCTGAATGACTTGGTTTGAATCCATTTTCCCTACTGCAAGCACATTCTTGCTATTTAGTATCTATAATCTTCACAATTCAGAGACTGATGTAGGCTCCAAGTTGAAAAGATACATTAAACACTTATAAACAGATTTACTTCTATACTTTTTTAGTTTAATTTTGCTGCTCCAAAAGAAAACTGAGTGATGACCTAGCTATTTTATATACCAAAGCTAATAATGTAAAGGAAAATCATTTCTAGGTCAATATGCCCTTCATTTATTAATAAGTGAATGTATTCTAGTACTGCTTGTATTAAGAAGAACAAAACAGTGACAAAAAAAGACATTTACATTGTTTTCTATAATGCAAAAATATATATTATATGCAGGTTCCTTGAACAAGAAACTATACACTTATTTTAATAAAATATGCATGTTTGATCATTTTAACACTTCACAGTCTACCGTGAATTTTTAATAAATAAAATTTAAAATAATGTAAGTAATACATCATGAATAATTTAAGATGCTGATCATGAAACTACATCTTCACCTTGCTTCTTTGCTTTATACTGGGTCCAGCTTTGGGGAGCAGAGTTAGCAGATTGCCTCTGGATGTCAGTGTTTTCAAAGTGTGCTGCAGTTAATAAAGAGGGCACCTCATCGAAGCTCATGCTCCGTCACAAGGCAGCCTGCCATCGAGTGGGAGGAACTAGGTAAGTTATCTCTTAAATTTGTCTTTCCTTTCTATCAAAAATGAACCTTCTCCCAGTAGAGCTATTAAAGTAGCCTCCTAATTGAGCTCTCTGCTTCAGCTGTCACCAATATATTGTTCTTCACAGTGCTCCAAAACTATCTTCAAAATTATGACTTTTATCATGTTACCCATAGTCTCTTTTACCGAGAAGAGAAAATACAAATTTTTTAGCTCTATATAAAAGTTGGCCCTGGAAATGGAAGAATCTGCCTTTCCAACATTATAGTACAACACCACTCCCCAGCAATGACCAGGCAAAAATGAAGTACTCTTTATTCCAGATACACATCAAATGTATTACCCCTTTCTAAGTCAACTCTTCTTCTTCCTACCACCCAACATTGTAAACTGTACCATGTTATGCTTAAAATGATTATTTCATAAACATGTAAACAGTTCACTCAGTATTGTTTTAGATAACAAATATTTATTTCTGGTATCCTAAGCTAAAAATCTAACTCAACACTCCTTAGAATAAGAAACACCTGGACTTAGAGGATGGCCTAAACCCCTCCCTTCATCACGTAGATGCTGGGCAGAAGTGGCTAAACAACTAAAGACAAAACAAAAACCAGTGCTGACTGGGTACTTTCAGGAATACATATTCTTAAACAAAGGTAACTCGTCTGTCTAGAGTATGTTACTTTGCTTTAAAAAAAAAAAAAAGATAAACTTTTACTTAGGGATAATTTTAGATTCATGTAGATTTGAAACTGTTCCAAAATGAAAACAAACTTCAAAACATATCATTTCCATTGACTTCATGAAATCTTACATTTTTCGAGAGATTTTAATTGTTAATCCATTTGTATCATGGTTAGTTTATCAATCTATGAGACAGACTAAATGATAGTGACTCATAGGACAGGAATAAACTTAATATTAAATTGAGAATGATGCAGACTGATTTTACATGTGGTCAGTTTCCTAGTGAATACTTTTGTGTTAGGATGAATTTTATTTCCTTATACAAGTTGTGTGGAGCCCTGGTGGTGGCACAGTGGTTAAGAGCTACAGCTGCTAACCAAGAGATCAGCAATTCAAATCCACCAGGCACTCCTTGGAAACCTTATGGGACAGTTCCACTCTGCCTATAGGGTTGCTATGAGTCGAAATTGACTCAACGGTAATGGGTATACAACTTGAACTTGTGGAATTGCTTATTTTTTGATTAACTCTTGTATTGTCCTTTTTAATGTTCATAATAAGCCTATCGTACAAGTAGTATTATTAGCCTCATTTAAAGATGAAGTAAAGGAAGATTAGAGAGGTTAAATACAGGCATACCTTGTTTTATTGCATTTCACTTTACTGTGCTTCGCAGATATCATGTCTTTTACAAATTGAAGGATTATGGCAACCCCGCATCAACCAAGTCTTTCCACGCCATTTTTCCAACAGCATGTGCTCACTTCGTGTCTCTGCATCACATTTAGGTAATTTTCATAATATTTCGAACTTTTTCATTATTATTGTATCTGTTATGGTGATCTGTGATCAGCGATCTTTGCTATTACTATTGTAATTGTTTTGGAGTGCCACAAATCATGCCCATATAAGACAGCAAACTTAATCAATAAATGTTATGTGTGTTCTGAGTGCTCCACAGACCAGCTGTTTCCCCATCTGTCTTCCTTTCCTCAGGCCTCCCTACTCCCTGAGACACAATATTGAAATTAGGCCAATTAATAACCCTACAACAGCCTCTAAGTGTTCAAGTGAAAGGAAGAACTGCACATCTCTCATTTTATACAGAAAGCTCGAAATAATTAAACTTAGTGAGGAAGGTATGTTGAAAGCCAAGACAGGCTGAAAGCTAGCCCTCTGGCACCAGTCAGCCAGGGTATGAACGCAAAGGAAAAGTTCTTCACTCACGTGAACACACAAAAGATAAGAAATTGAAACAGCCTTATTGCTGATATGGAGAATGTTTTAGTGGTCTAGAGAGAAGATCAAACCAGCCATAACATTCCCTTAAGCCAAAGCCTAATCCAAAGCAAGGCCCTAACTCTCTTCAATTCTGTGAAGGCTGAGAGAGGAGAGGAAGCTGCAGAAGAAAACTTTGAAGCTAGCAGAGATTAGTTCATGAGGTTTAAGGAAAGAAGCCGTCTCCATAACAAAACATACAAGGTGAAGCAATAGGTGCTGATATGGAAGCTGCAGCAAGTTAATGCAGAAGAGCTAGCTAAAATAACTGATGAAGGTGGCTGCACTAAATACACATTTTCAATGCAGATGAAACAGCCTTATATTGGAAAAAGATGCCATCCAGGACTTTCATACTAGAGAGAAGTCAATGCCTGGCTTCAAAGCTTCAAAGGACGGGCTGATTCTCTTATTAGGGGCTAATGCAGCTAGTGACTTTAAGTTAAAGCCAATGCTCATTTACCACTCTGAAAATCCAAGGGTCCTTAAGAATTATGCTAAATCTACTCTGCCTGTGCTCTATAAACGGAATAACAAAGCCCGTATGACAGCACATCTGTTTACAACATGATTTACTGAATATTTTAAGCCTACTGTTGAAATCTACTGCTCAGAAAAAAAAATTCCTTTTAAAATATAATGCTCATTGACAATGCACCTGGTCACCCAAGAGCTCTGATGGAGATGTACAAGGAGATTAATGTTATTTTCATGCCTAACGCAACACACATTCTGCAGCCCATGGATCAAGGAGTAATTTCAACTTTCAAATCTTATTATTTAAGAAATACATTTTGTAAGGCTATAGCTGCCATAGATGGTGATTCCTGTGATGGATCTGGGCAAAGTAAATTGAAAACCTTCTGCAAAGGATTCACCATTCTAGATGCCATTAAGAACATCTGTGATTCATGGGAGGAGGTCAAAATATCAGCATCACCAGGAGTTCGGGAGAAGTTGATTCCAACCCTCATGGATGACGTTGAGGGGTTCAAGACTTCAGTGGAGGAAGTAACTGCAGATGTGGTGGAAACAGCAAGAGAACTAGAATTAGAAGTGGAACCTGAAGATGTGACTGAACTGCTGCAGTCTCTCGATAAAACTAATGGATAAGGAGTTGCTTCTTATGGATGAACAAAGAGAGTGGTTTCTTGAGATGGAATCTACTCCTGGTGAAGGATGTGAATGTTACTGAAATGACAACAAAGGATTTAGGAATTACATAAACTTAGCTGATAAAGCAGCAGCTAGGTCTGAGAGGACTGTCTCCAATTTTGAAAGAAGTTCTACTGTGGGTAAAATGCTATCAAACAGCATCGCATCCTACAGAGAAATCTTTTGTCAGGAAAGAAAGAGTCAGTCGATGCGGCAAACTTCACTGCTGTCTTATTTTAAGAAATTGCCACAGCCTTCAGCAACCACCACCCTGATCAGTCAGCAGTCATCAACATCGAGATAAGACCATCCACTTGCAAAAAGATTACAACTCGCTGATGCCTCACGTGATGGTTAGTATTTTTTAGAAATGAGGTATATTTTAATTCAAGTATGTACTGTTTTTTTAGACATAATGCTATTGCACACTTAACAGACTACAGAATAGTGTAAACATAACTTTTGTATGTACTGGGAAACCAAAAAATTTGTGTGGCTTGCTTTATTGTGATATTTGCGTTATTGCGGTGGTCTGGAACCAAACTCGCAATATCACCAAGGTATGCCTGTGCTCCAGTCACAGAACTACTAAGTGACAAAGCTAGGCTTTGAAGCCAATCAGTCAAATTCTGGAATCTACACTCTAAATAATAACAAAGTGTTTGAGTAAAACAAAAACCATCTCATGCTTTTATATTCACATTATACATGTATGCTCACTCATAGCAATAAAGAGTTGGTGGAAGAAAACAAAAATTGCCACATTAGTTATTACCTGTGTCTGCCTCATTGCCCGTTCCATTCGGCGTGTGCTTCTTGTCTCAAGTTTTGTCCGGAGGATCAAGGCTGATGTCTGAATGGCCCAGAACTTTGGTTGTGAAAGCAAATACTAACAGAAAAGGAAAAAAAAGATCATATAAAGAAGGGATGAGTGAGATGATCCCACTCTGAACAGGAGAAAATTAATTCTTTCAAAAATATATGAACACATCTAAATGCACACATGAAATCTTCCCAATGAAAAATAATAAAACGTGCTTTCAAATATTTTTCTGAAAAATGTTTTCATTTAAGTAGAGTCATGACTCTAGGTGATCCAATTTCATTGAGTAAATCAGTTAAAGAAAAATAAATCAGTATCTCTTCAGATAACCAAAGCACTAAACAGAGTTTATCATACATAAGCAAAAAAACTTTTCTATCTCATGGGTTACAAAATTTTGAGAAAATAAACTTCATAAAAGTAAATATAATCTTTCTCAAATTTGAAATAAATTTTAAAAATCACCCAAACTTCAAAAGGAAAACAAATTATCAGTGATCTGGTATCTTCTAACTTTAAAAACATCCTAATTCGTAGATACAAGTGCAAATCAAACCTCACATAACACAGAATGCCCAAGAAATTAAGTTTTTCTTCATTTACAGGCAAAAGAACTTTTTCAATTTGTATTGTAGAAAACCATTCTAAATGTATGAGAATGCATTCTGACCTTCGTAAGGATAGGTAGGGAGTCTCCTATTTTAGTTAAAATGATTTCCTATAGGTAGTACCTTAAGGAAGACTGGCCTCAAACAAAACTTCAAATATACACATACTGAAACCTAATCTCAGAAAAAGCCGTGACTGCCAACAGTTGCTGTTGTTAAGTGCCTTCGAGTCAATTTTTGACTCATCGCGACCCCATGTGATGTAGCAGAACTGCCCCATAGGGTTTTCTAAGCTGTAATCTTTATAGGAGTAGATCACCAGGTCTTTCTCCCACAGTCACTGAGTGAGTTTGAACTGCCAACCTTTCAGTTAGCAGTGGAGCGCTTAACCACTGAGCCACCAGGGCTCCTTAAAGACTAATAGAAACTACTAAATAAAAACACAAATGTGGTGGGAAAGAAAGTGTAAGTTTTGGGTGAGTGAAAACAGGGACAAAATGTATCATGATATAATAGTGACTACTTGGTAAAATGAACTCAATGTAAGATCTCTTTGATGATGACTTGGAATCCATTTCTGTCTCTAGGTGATCATTCACAAAAATAACTTCAGTGAAGGTCAAAGGAAAGAAAGGGGAAAGCTGACTACATCCTTGACAAAAGTATGCTGCTTTGTCATCTGCTTAATGTTTCTAAATGTCAGGTGTGGAAAACATCCCAGTTTTATTAGAGTCCACATAATCACTCAAAAAGCATCAGGGAGGCTTTTAAATTACCAAAGCCTTGACTTCACTCTGAAACAACTAAAACAAATCTCTGAAAGCAAGATCTGGGAATCAGTTTTTTTTTAAAACGCTCCCCAGGTAATTGTAAAGTGCAGCCACAGTTAACAACTACTAGGTGAAAATAATGCAAGCACTTGTCTTTAGTTAAATACATTTATAATTCCACATTTTCATTAATGGTTAGCAAGATGTCCTTCAATGGAGCATAAATTATATCACAGTCTCTATCATTCCTTGTACACATAAAGCTCATGTCACTCATTTGTATTACCTGACTGACTTCTACAATAAAGAAGAAAATGAAGCACCAACAGGTTAGACCACTGACTCAATGTCACTCCTCCTTCGTTAGTAACAAAAGCTGGTTCCCACAATTTATCTCTTGAGTCCCATAACAACATTTTTATATTTTTAAACACTTTCTCCAAATGAACTTGTGATCATTTAAATGGTTAAAGGAAGTTAAGCGTCATCTTGGAAGTGGATGATATTACCCAGGGAACATAGGGAAGTAGAAGAATGTAAGAGGACTAAGTAAAGAAGCTTTGGAAACTGCTATACTAAAGAGGCAGTGGAAGAAGAGGAGTTGGCAAAGATACACAGGGAAGGGAGGAGGAAAATAAAAAAATTCGTAATGAAATGTATGTGTTTGTTAATTCACTTAACTCAAGAATTTCTCGAGTACTTACCCTATACGAGGTGCTGCACTAGGCCTCAAGGATACGACAGCCAACAAGACAAACAAGGTCCCTGCCCTCAAACCTTGTAATCTAATGAAATGTCTATTAAACAATCTCACTCTAGAAGAACAACTAACTTTGCAAATTAAAATACTTTATATCTCTTTGAAATAATAGTTAACAAAATTAAGTCATAACCTTGTCTTATTAGCCTCCATTACCTTAAATTTGCAACAACAACAACAAAAAAGATCAATTTACCAACATAAATAGGAATATTGTTGTTGTTGTTAGGTGCCACTGAGTCAATTCTGACTCACAGTAACCCAATGTGACAGAAGAGAACTACGCCATAGGGTATCCTAGGCTGTAATCTTTACCGGAGCAGATAGTTGTATATGGAACTAAAAAGATAGAATGATGAAATAAGTGTCATTTAAAAAGTTATTTAAAATGTGTAACACTTTCCCCTTAGATTGGGAATAACACAAGGACGGCCACTTTCATGACTGCTATTCAACAATGTACTGGAAGTTCTAGCCAGAGTAATATAGGCAAAAAAAAAGTAGTAAGATGCATCCAATTTGGAAAGAAAGAACTAAAACTATCTCTATTCACAGAAGACATGATTCTACACACAGAAAATCCCAAAGTTTCCACAAGAAAACTACTAGAACTAATAAACAAATTCAGCAAAGCTGCAGGGTACAAGATCAACACATAAATATCAGTTGTGTTTCTATATGCTACCAATGAACAATATGAAAACGAAAATTTTTAAAATTCCATTTACAGTACCATCCAAACTAATAAAATACCTAGGAATAAATTTAATCAAGGAGTGAAAGACTTGTACATGGAGAAACTATAAAACATTGCTGAAAGAAATTAAAGGACACTTAAATAAATGGAAAGATATCCCTTATTCATGGATTGGAGGACACAGTATTGTTAAGATGGCAATACTACCCAAATTGATCTACAGATTCAACACAATCTCTATAAAAATTTCAACAGTCCTTTTTTGTATAAATGGAAAAATCTATTCTCAAATTCAAAAGGAACTGCAAGATAGCCAAAACAATTTTAAATAAAGAGTAACAAAGTAAGGACACTCATACTTCCTGATTTCAAAATGTACAACAAAGGTACAGTGACTAAAATAGACTGGTACTGGCATACAGATAAAAATATAGACCACTGGAATAGAATTGAGAGTCCAGAAATAAATCCATACATTTAGGGCCAAATGATTTTTGACAAGTGTAAAGACCATTCAACAGGGAAAGAATATCTTCACAAATAGTGCTGGGACAACTGGATTTCCACATGTAGAAGAATGCGGTGGGATCCCTAGCCCACACCATATACAAAAATTAAATCAAACTGAATCAGCAACATAAAAATAACAGCTAAACCATAACACTCTTAGAAGAAAACATAGGGGTAAGTCTTCATAACCTTGATTTGGCAATGGATTGTTAGATACGACACCAAAAGCTCAAGCAAAAATGAATAACAAATTGGACTTCATCAAAATACAAAACTTTTAAGCATCAAAGAATATTATCAAGAAAATGAAAACACAACCTACAGAATGGGAGAAAAATATATGCAAATCATATATTTGATAAGGGTTTAATATCTGGAATACATAAAGAACACCTACAAACCAACAATAAAAAGACAACCAACCCAATTTAAAAATAGACAAAGGCCTTATATAGACATTGCTCCAAAGAAGATATACAAATGGCCAACAAACACATGAAAAGACATTTAATGTCATTAGGGAAACAAAAATCAAAACCACGTGACTGGCGTCTGGGGTCTTAAAAGCCTGTGAGTAGCCATCTAAGCTACTCCACTGGTCTCACTCCTTCGAGAACAAGGGAGAATGAAGAAAACTAAAGATACAAGGGAAAGATTAGTCACAACTAATCACAACTACCACGGCCTCCACCACACTGAGTCCAGTACAACCAGATGGTGCCCAGCTACCACCAATGACTGTTCTGACAGGGATCACAACAGAGGGTCCCTGACAGAGCTAGAGAAAAATATAGAACAAAATTCTAACTAAAAAAAAAAAAAAAAAAAAAAAGACCAGACTTACTGGAAAAACCCTGAGACTGTGGCCCCCGGACACCCTTTTATCTCAGTAATGAAGACACTCCTGAGGTTCACCCTTCAGCCAAAGATTAGACAGGCCCATAAAACAAAACGAAACTAGACTTCTGGCAACATGGCGCTCTAGGCAGAAGCACCGTGCCATCCCTCCACACAAAGATCTGAAAAACTAAGCAAAACACAGAAAACAGCAATCCTGAAACCCTAAACATCAAATGAAGACATAAACAACTCAGCCAAGCACCAAATGAAATAAGAAACTGACAGACAACAGAAAGTGAGGAGATACACATGGAGAGGTCCCCCGTCAGCTAACGCAGCAAGGATTTGCGCCATCCTGGACTCCTATCAGAGACCAGCAAATAGGGGGTACGAGAAAGTAGCTTCACGGAGTTTCCAGCAGGAGACAGAACAACTGGTAACTGGCAATATATGCCTTCCCAGCCCCCACCCTTCTTCACCCTCCAGTCGGCCTCCTCTGCTTCCCACGGCCACAGTCTCTTGTCTGGGAAGCACCGGCTACTTGGATCCACCTACCTGCACTGTCCGACTCCCTGAGCGCCATTTGTTGGCTGCTGAGTTTGCTTTTTTCCACTTCTTTTGGTTTCTTCCATACCTCTCTTGGTTTCTTCCATACCTCTCACCACCTCCCCCTCTTTTCGCTCAAATACCTGGCTCCGTGTGCCATCTTTGCTTTTTCCTGAGGGCCTGTGGAGCTCTGCTCCAGTGTGGAAGTGCTTCCCGGTCCATGCTGTTGGTGGGATCCCAGAGCTCTTGTTTGTTTGTTTTGAATCATGTGTTTGTTTGTTTTCTTTTTCTTTTCTTGATTGGGAGCTCGTTCTAGCCGGGCAGTGCTGCATGGC